ATTTTGTGTTAGTGATTAAGCTGTTAAAAAGTTATCGTTTCTTGCTATTATAATTGTGGATTGAATTTGTTGGTTTCTATCGTAATTTCTTAGACCAAACAAAGTACACACATCGACAGACATAAGCACAAAATTCAAAGGTCGCATGCTTATTTTACTGTAAGCGGTCGATCTTTTAGTGTAAGCATGCATTTTCCTCTACGCTTCACTTCAAGAGGGATGGATTTATGTGTTGTCGACTCTTCTTCTATATGGTCAAACTCTTGTTGGAAATGATCGACCTCATTGCATATATGGTAATTACTACCCTGAAGTGGTCGGCCTCTATTTTTTGCGGTCCGCTAAGTTTGCCCCTAGCATAATCTTATGGGGCTGGATCTGTAAGGGATAGAAGTTCAAGCTAGGGATACTATTACTATATGGAATCTCGCACCTATTAGGACAATGACATTTATGAAGTTTGAATTGCACGAAAGGTCAAGGCCATTAACAAGGGCAAGAAAGGCATAAGAGGTCCTAATTTACTAAACAATGAATATTCGTATGTTTTAGAAGGGCGTCGGGAGCAATACTCCACCACGTACCAAATCCCAAAAAGCAGGCAAGAGATTAATACAAACCAAAGCGTTTATCTTTCATATAGGAGTAGGTAGCAGTCGGCCTGCGATTGTCCATATAAGGAGCTCGAGGGAAATTTTCATTTTTAGGTCTAATATCATAGGCCTAACTCTTAAAAGGAGCTCCCTTCCTGTTGTTCTAAAATTGACAGTTTCCTTTTATTTTTTAGACTGCTAGCCAAAGCCCGGGGTCAACCATTTTGTATATGACTAACTTGAAATGTCGACATCTTTCCTATTGTGGTCGACCATTTATTTTATGACTGCCTCAAATCGGTCAATCAATTTTTTGTTGTGGTCAACCATTTTAGTAATGACTACCTTAAAATGGTCGCCAATTGTATGTTAATGGTCGGCCATAAATTCTATCAAAATGACCATGGTGTAATTGGTCGACCGGATGAGCACATAGATTGACCGAATTGTACAAGTCATTGTGCCTTACATGTCACCATAGGTGTACCTTAAAAGTTAAAATGATAAATATGACATGAAAAGCGTGTATCTTACCAAATCTTACTTGACAAATGATTGTCTAGCAGCCTATATAGGCTAAGTTAAGAGAACCACGGTCCAAATTTAAATAACTCTTAGGATCAACAGGAAAGACCATCATTATATTTAGTTTGTTCTATCTGTTCCACATATCAATTCGACCATTTTTCTACAGTATCTATAAAATTCATTTTACCAAGCACTAAATTATATTATATTCAATTCTATGTGTTCTGATTGATCTTATGCGATGTGATCCGAACCTAACTATTACACACCCTAGACAAATGATAGTCTAGCAGCCTAAATGGGTCAAGGTAGGGCTGAAAATTGGTCTGACCCGCCCCTGGCCCTGTATTGACCCTGTCCTTAAGGGTCAAGATGTATAACTGACCCGCCCCAACCCTATTTCATTCATGGCCCTGTCTGATCCTTTAGGGCCGGGCGGGTCAAGAAGGGTCGGGTCAGTGGGTCGACCCTAATAAATACACTACTTTTCTAAAAATTACCAAATTATCCTAATAAATATACTACTTTTCTAAAATTACAATTTGGTACCCCAATTTATTTTTTCTTACATTTTAGTACCTAAATTTTATTTTATTTTTATAAATAAGTCCCAAAATTTTGATGGTAAATTATGTTTTGGTACCCAATTTTTTTATTTTTACAATTTAGTACCTAAACTTATAAAATTTTACAAATATGTCCAACGTGTTTGTATGATGCTAAGGGTCATAGGTCAAAAAGTGACTTGATCCTAAATTGACCCGGCCCTACCTGACTCGACCCTAAGCTGACCCGACCCTAAACTGACCCTGTAGACAAACTGACCCAACCCGACCCTGAGGGTCGGGGCGGGTCGGGGTGGGTCGGTGGGTTTTAAGTAGGGGTGGAAGTTTGGGTTGCGGGTTGTGGATAATCCGCAAACCGCACCAACCCGCACCTATTGTGGGTAACCATACCCACAAGTTGTGGGTAGTGGGTTGGGTGTGGATAGTAAAATATTTTTGTGGTTAGTGGTTATCCACTATCCACCATGGTTAACCCACAAAATCCACAATAACCACACTAATTATATTTATTTAGTGAAAAGTGCGAGAATAAAAATTAAAGTAGCCACCAAATAAAAAAGACACACCTAATCAGTTTTATGTAAGAATTTTTTAGTTTATAAACCACTATAATCGATAGAGTGGAGAATAATCAACTCATTAAAAGTGAACACCTTTTGTAACTTTTATCAGTATGATTTTGCTTTTGTGTGAAAAAATACAAGATCATATTTAATTGTCATATTTCACCCCTAGTCGGGGAAATATGAAATCACAGCTCTCTGACACAAAAGTTGAATACCAAACTAAAAAAGATAAAATCTCCACGTTGATTAAGATCGAAGTACAAAATTGTATCTCCACGAACAACACAAGTGTATATCACTATAGTCTGGTTACGAACAACAAATACGTTAGTGGCGACTAGAACTCTATGCTTGCAAAGATGGCTTTTTACGGGTAACCACACCCAACCCGCACAAATCCATAATGGGTAGTGATTACCCACTAACCACTGCGGTGCGGGTTGTGGATAGCATAATTGTAAATTTGTGTGTGAGGGTACCCGCAAAATGTGGGGCGGGTAACCATACCCGCCCCTAGTTTTAAGGGTCAAACTTACACCCCAAGGTGATGATATCACTTCAGACCAAATCTTCAGCACATAACAAAAGAGTTGCCCTTTTAGTGGCTAAAACGGCTCTTTATCGGCGGATTGATTAGCTATCGACCGTCGCATTTCATTATTTTATTTATTACATATTTGTAAGCATACTGCATTATACACCTATCTATGGTACTGTACACCTATGAAAGAAAAAAAAGTTGAATCGATTATTATTGTAGACTAGATGCACGTAGGTTAGTTCTGTAATTCCAATATGTCATGACACAAACCTATTTGTCAAAACCATTTAACAATTAGTTACTATTTTATCAAATCTTTTGATCAGCCTGCCGTCTACAGAAGAAGTAGAAGTGGGAGGATGGAAGTTTAGAGATGGCGTACAAAAGTGGGATTTTGATTTTCCGGCGTTGGTCCATACCCCTGGCTAGCTAGCTGTGTTCCTACGTGGGCGTGGAGTGACTGTGCCAGCGCGGCAGTGGAGGAGAGCATCGTGGCGGCCACGTGGCTTATGGGGAGCAGAGGCGTGCATCACTGGGAGGGAACAAACTCCTTACCTCTGTGCCTGTCTGGAAACAATCCAACACAAACCACCCTAACAAACAAAACAAAAAACAAAACAAAAAAAAGGATACGGCCCATTCCGCCAGTCAATTCCAACAAACTGCCTTTGGGTGTCAGCAGTTCGAAATCAAACTCAACGGTTACATGCAGTTCGAAACCAAAATCAAAGTTTGTTACAAACTCGGTCTGTCACTCAGTCTCCTCGATTTGCTTTGTCCCTCTCGAGAGTTTGTTGCGGCCGGCAGTTCCAGCTCCCACCTCATGACTTCAACAAACTTCTCCCCTTCACCATATAATATTGCGACTCCATAATTAGTAAAATTGGGTAGGTGGGGATGAAAGGATTCCTGCTGTATTGACTATACTACTAGACATTTTATGCAATGCCGGAGACATGAATTTTATCTCGGGGTTTTGAAAAAAATTAGTTAATAGATTAAAATATTCAAATAATAAAAAATATTATAAAGAATCAACAAATTAAATGATTCGTCATTGCAGAAAAAAAAAAATAGGGTGTCTAGAGACACCCTTAAAAGGCCATGGGTCCACCACTATGTGCATGTTACCATCATGTTTATTAACCCTGAATAGACCGTTAATTTCAATATATGTGTATTTTTGGGATAAATGACATAAATATTGTTTTTTTAATTTACCATAAATATGGTGGATTAACAAGTATTTACACAAATATTGTGTATTTGTGTAGGGTTATAGGCGCGACCGCCAGAGACTCAAGCGGGGCCGCGTTTTGAAATTACAAAACAAGTCCCAGGCGTTGGCGATTGAGTCTCCAGCGCCCCTGCCTCCACACTCATTTTTTTAAACCCTAGCGGCCACCTCTCCTTTCTCGTATCTTCTTCTTCTTCCTCCCTCGACACCACACACCCACCACTCTCGCCCGCCCGAATAACCAGGCCCGCCACGCCGCCGTCACCCCAGACAGAAGCAACCCCGCCGCTGAAAGAGGCGATCGGGTCGCAGACAGAGGCGCTGCCGCTGCAGACAGAGGCGCCAGCGCCTGAGTTCGACGGAGCAAATGTCCTCCGACGAAAAGGAAGTAGTCATCTACAGGGGCAGGGGGAGAGGCCAGCGAGGTCGTGGAGGCGGCGACCGTTTTCGTGGTGAGAATCTCGCCGGCGGCGACCAGCATCTTTTTTTTGTTGCTTTTGCAGTTCCTAGGCTTATGGACAGTTATTCAATGAGACTACAGCCTGCGACAATTGATCCAGCTCCGGTCGATTCGGTACTTCTTTGGGGGACATGGTCAACATCGTATTGACTCAGTTTGGACAAACGAGGTAAGTATTTGATAACTATTCATGTAAAGTTAAATTAGCTAGTTAGATTAGATTATTTTAGTAGGTGAACTGAACTGTACTGAAAGTAGAATAGAATTACGTATCAAATTTTTTAAAATTAGTATAATTTTAGATTAGATTAGATAAATTAGAATTATTACGAATGAAATTGAATTAATATAAGTTTTGTGCACTATAGGCTGGTGATCGATCTTACCATGTTCGAGGTACTACCAATTTAGTCAGGAACCATGAGCGTTATCAGCCATATCTCGGAGCGGTGGGCTTGTCTAGTGTTTTGCCCCTGGTCCCTATGAATTCTGATGCGAGTTTGATTACTGCGCTCGTAGAGCGTTGGCGACCCGAGACGTCGACCTTCCATTTACCATTTGGTGAGGTCACGATCACGTTAGAGGACGTTGTGACACTGTCTGGTCTGGCGATCGATGATGATGTCGTCGTAGTTGACATACTGGATGAGGAGTGGCAGGTGATCTATTTGAGACTGTTAGGACGGGTTTCGGATGATCTTTCACGCGTTGTCGTTAGGATTGTTTGGCTGAGGGATGAATTCAGTCATCTGTCGGGAAATGCATCCCAGGAGGTTACAGAGCAGTTTGCACGAGCTTATGCTCTATCTCTGATGGGAGGTGTACTGTTCCCGGGTCGGTTTGGAGCTACGGTGCACCTACAGTACCTACTTCTGATTGAGGATTGGCAGAGAGCTGAATGATTCGCCTGGGGAGCAGCTGTTTTATCCTACCTGTACCGTGAGATGGGTAGGTCGGCTTTGCACATTACACATTCCTCCACTTCTCTAAGAGAACACCTTGGTGGATGGCTCGCTCTACTGCAGCTCTGGGCATGGGAGCGATTCCCACATCTGACACCGCGACATTCAGAGACGAGGGCGCAGATTTCCGAGGATGCATCCCCACGTGGTCTTTGATCGCTTCCGGCCAACACTCGTCAGTATGGTGACCAGCTATTCCAGTACAAGCTGTGGTTTGACGAGATGGAAACCATGGTGGTTAGTATATAACATTTCATTTTATAGAATATTTTCATTTGTTTGTTTTATATTTAGGGATAATAACGTGACCATTTATTTTGTTTAGTGGCAACCTTACGTTGAGAGTAGGGATGGCAATGGGTCGGGTTGGGTCGGGTTTTGCCAAACCCAAACCCAAACCCATGGGTTTATCTTTGAAAAAAACCCGGGGTAAAACCCACTGGGTTTGAAAAACTCAAACCCAACCCAACCCGTTGGGTATCCGCGGGTTCATGGGTACCCACGGGTTTTGTCGTAAAAAATTTACAATTACAAGTTCTTATCAAAATTAAAGTCAAATATCAATCTCTCAATACAAATTATCCATATATAAAACACCATTCTAGAAAATTCAAGCAAATCACAAATTAACTATACAAATTGTTCAACACCAATCTAGAAAACTTAAAAAAATTGAAGCAAATCACAAATTTTCCATAAATAACATGTTTAATTGAAAGTTTCTTCCTTTCAATTAAGTTTCTTTACTCTCCACTCCATAACATCAACTTCATTCTACACAATTAAAAAGAAAAAATTAGACATGTCTCCACAAACATAAATAAGATTAGTTGTTTAGATATTAAATATACCGAAAAAATTAATTATATGGGTGAGCGGGTACTCACGGGCCGGGTTTACCTAAACCCAAACCCAACCCAACCCGTTGAATAGTGAACGGGTTTAAACCCAAACCCGGCCCAAAACCCGTCAACACGGATTTTACCCGCGTTGACCGGGTTGGGTCGGGTGGGTACCCGTGGGTTCGGGTTTTGTTGCCATCCCTAGTTGAGAGAGCACATTATCTCAGAGGTAGTGTGATACAGTCTGAGACGTTTTGAGCAGTAGTGCCACTAATCTGATTTTCAGCGGTGATGTATCACCATCCAGACTGTGTGCTCCGGCAGTTTGGCATGAGGCAGACTGTGCCTCATCCGCCATATCCTGAGGCTGAGGTTAGGTTTTTCCTTCGCCAGACTACTCGTGGGCCATCGCGTGGGCAACAGTTGGTACACGCCTCCAGAGAGTCGCTTGCTTTCTGGAGCCGTCGACATGAGTTTGTAGCGACAACTCCATACAGTGAGGAGGTTTTAGCCTACCACTCGGAGGTAATGGAGTGGTATCGAGATGTCACCAGACGTTCAGGCACACGGAGAGGAGCTGCAGTGGAGGCATTGGTTAGTTATTTATTGTTTATTTTTTTTTTTTTTGTATTTGTCTTGAATTTCTTAATTGTGTGAAATCTCTGACATTTCAATTTAAATTTTAGTACGACACTTTGGAGCATGCTGAGCTGAGTTTACATGACGGAGTACGGATTGGAGGGATGTCCACCGACTAGTGTGAGGATTTGGCCAACATGATGGCATCAAGGGTTGCTACTTCAGGTTTGGAGCGGCACAGGCATCCTGATCTCACAGTACCTATACAGCCTGATTATGATCAACCCAACATGACTTCCTGGCCAGAGCGTACTGATCCGACACCAGACTGGGTCGTCCCGGAGCCACAGTTCAGACAGGAGCATAGGCCACGTAGACAGCGACGTGAGCATCGTGATGTACCTAACCCAGTCCGGATTTCATATCGACAATGAGCACAGCCCATTCGGCCTACTACGACCTTCTAGTTTAATACATCGTTTCACCAAGGCACTTATTCGGGACATCAGACAGGCGCCTTATTCAGCCTTTCGGCCTCCTCCTCAGCCGCAGTTTCACTCGGATCCTTCTTCGAGCTTCCATCCACCAGAGAATAGCTTCCATACACCGCAGCATACTACGATAGGAGGTGGATACATGGCCTCAGGTAGTGATACTAGAGCAGCCTCTACTACCAACCTGTAGGACACTCTAGAGGGTGATGAGACCTTTCAGGAGACGATGTGGAATTATGAGCAGCATCTTCAGTCTCAGCAGTATGGTGGCGGTGTACCTGAGGAGCATATTCAGTCTCAACAGGATGATATGTTCGGTACACAGGATCAGGATGGTGGTGTCGAGGGAGATCAGCCCAGCAGTATGATGGTAGGCCTCCACGTGAGACTATTGTTTTTGTTATGTTATTATTTTTGTTAGTGGTGGAGCATGGTGATCGTCGTGGTGGTCGTCAGTGAGACTATTATTTTTGTTATGTTATTATGTACTTCTTTGGGATATTTATGTGGACTATTTTTAACTTCATGTATTATGTTATTAACGAGAACTATTCGGAACAACAAATAACAAACAACAACTCGGACATTTTATAATTTGGCCAACAACAACAACATACGCATGAAAAAACAACCACTACTTCAAACCATAACAACTGCTTGAAAAACAACAACTACTACATTTGATTAAAATTCGACCAAACTACATACCACGTCTATTACCACTACTAATCTGTGCTTCTGTCTCCAACCTCATCTTATCGAATTTCTCCAACAATCGCCAATAGGTATGTTGCACAAGAGACGCAATAGGAAGTGAACGAATACCTTTGAAAACTCCATTGATGCTCTCTGTCATGTTGGATGTCATGATAGACCATCGACGCCCACCATTATAGTTATCATGCGCTAAGATCCAACGAATTTGGTCCACCCAATTATCGCAAGAAATATTCCTATCAGCGGCCACCTTCTTAAATTGCTCAACTTGATGATCGAACTTCTCCAAGCGTTTTTCTCCGGCTAACAAAGTAAATAACCACACGAGTTAGATAAATTAAAGTAAATAACAAAATTAAATGAAGAAGGCTTACCGACTCGAAATAGTTGCTTATACATGATTTTTCTTTTAGTCTTTCTTTGCAAGTTGCTTGCGTAGTGTCGCATGCACCACCTCCACTCCCAACCTTTTCTTATGTAACCCATGGCTTCATAGAGTCCCACATGTCTATTCGAGATGATGCAGACATCATTTCGATCGGTCAAACCTTGAACGTGATTTATGAACCATGGCCAACTTTTAGTATTCTCGCTCTCCACGATGACAAATGCTATTGGAAAAATCTTCTTCCGGCCATCAAATGAGCTCGCCATGAGTAGCACTCCTTTATACTTTCCAGTAAGAAATGTTCCATCAACAACCATGACTCCTGGACAATTCTTGAATCCATCTGTACAAGGTCCATAAGCCCATAATACTCTTTGAAAGATCGAATGACCTAGTTGAGCTTAAGGAACTCTTACCCAATCAATCACTGATGTTGGCATTTTTCTCTTTACCACCCGCAAGAATGTTTGCAAATAATCGTAGGATTCTTCCCAATTTCCATGCAACTTCTCCGATGCTCTTTGTTTCCCATACCAAGCCTTATTGTAAGTAACTTGCATATTAAACATATCTTTCAACTCGGCCTGCACAGTTAGAACATTCAGATTTGGTTAGGCACGTACCAAATGTCTGACGGCCTCATATATAATATCGACATCAAGATGGCGATGATCCGTCGGTTGAGTCGTACTACTACAAGAATGCACCAACTCGGCCTTTCTCACAGTCCATTCGCTTCCAACATCTCGACATCCAAACCGCACCATCCAAGGACAATTGTCATCCTTGTGCTTCAAGCATCTGACCTTCCAGATTGAAGGTGAGGACTCCACCATGCCATATTGAAAGTTTTGTTGTAGTGCGTGGTATTTAATAGCCACCTGTGTAGCTTGTTTTGAGTGAAATATCTGCCCCTTGTAGAATTCTCCTTCAAAACTAGCAACAAGAGGCATTGGAATTACGCCATATGAATCAGCATATGATAATTCGTCGTCCTCTTCATTACCCTGCAAGTAAAAATATGGAGGATAATTAGGCTGCTCTCCTTCGCCATCTTCCTCCTCCTCCTCCTCTTCTGCATCATCCTCCTCTCCGTCAACATCGTCATGATCGGATGGCATGCTCCATGTATCTTCTTCCTCTCCATCCCGATTCTCACTGAGCTCAGCATGTATCTCAGCACCCAAACAATAAGGGTTTTGTGCCATAAAATCGAAAAGCACATTCAAACTATCATCATCCACAATAGGCATCGAATAATGAAATTAAACACCATTCTGCCATTGTGGAACACGGTAAGTGAAACCTGTGATAACATCACTATCTTGTACTGCTTCGTCTCTACGCCGTATTCTCGGAATTAGATTCTCACAGAGTTTGTGATATGTCACCCTAGATGGAACCGTCAACTGAAAACTACTACCACCAACGAATTTTACGCCCAAATTATCCTCTACTTTCTCCGATTTCCACCGAACGACTAGTTCAAATCTTCTAAAATCACTACAAAAAAACAAACTCACTAATTAACTAAACAAAATCATAATAGCATTTGAATAATATAATTAAAAAAAAATGTGTCTCTTACCTATTAGTCATTTTTGTAGCAGCAACCAGAGCTTCTCCTCCTCAAACTTCGTCGATTTTTTTTGTGGTGAATAACTGAAACGAAATTCGCTGGTTTTATAGGGGGGTAGCCAGCAATACGCCAGCGGACCCGCCATAGTCTTGGGCGGCATCGCCAGGTACAAATTCTCACCAACTCGCCTTAGTCTCAGGCGGTACCACCTCAGTCTTGGGCGTCGTCTCTGTGTCAATACTTTTTAATCCGCAATATTGATGGTAAATTAAAAAAATACAATATTTATGTAATTAACCCTATTTTTGGATGCACTCAACTCTAAAAGTAGCCATAAGATATCGAATTTCAAATTTTAACTCATAACATTATTCTAGTATGATGATATAACATAGGATTGCAACTCATCTCTGCATTATCCTAAGTTCTAAACCTTCAATTTTGAATCTCAAATGTAAACCTCAAATTGTAAATCCTAGCCCTAGATCATTCAAATTAAAGTAAATTGTGAATGATTTTTGTACAAATTCATGTGTTTTCTTGACTATCATATAGCAAGTGATGATTGACATTATTTTCACATAAATCGCCTACATGACGGTTATAGTGACCAAAGCCATAAGCCCATAACTAACTATATATATAACAGAATCTGCGAGTATATATTCCAATTCAAAGTGCTCCTCGGTAATTGGAGAACAAAACAAGATCTCAATCATGTCTTTCACTAAAATTTCACCTTTTTT